GAAGGTGCTGACCAGCAAGCAGCCTTAGAGCCCCGAGTGCGCGGGTCTGACCAGCAGGGGCGGCGCCGTGGCCCCGGGCTAGTACTGCGATCAACAGGCGGCTCTGGGCCGGGCGCGGCGCGGGGAGCGCGGCTGCAGCGGGGCAGCCTGGGAAGCGTAGTTTCTGCGGTGCGCGGTGGCCAAGCGGAGGAAGGACCCCTGCCCGGGCCGCCGCTGGGTCTCCCTATGACGCGCTGGCCTCTCAGGGTCCTCCCCTAGAGTCTGGAGCTTTATGTGCGAGCGAGCGCGCAGCGAGGCAGGTGGAGCCTGGGCTTGGGGAGCTGGGTAGGCTCAGTGGGGATGCTCAGGATCACTGACGCGGTGGAGGGCTTGGCAAGATTGTGGACAAGTGAGCATCTTTCTGTGCTGTCTTGTGAAGGCCCGCTTCAGGCTAGGCTAGGAACAGACCAGGCCTGATCTAGGATTTACTAGCTGGGTGTGGGTGTGGAAAGGGCTAAATGGGTTAATTGCTTAGGGAAGAGGAGGGGAAAGCTAGCTGACATTTAGGGAGCTTGATAAATGTTTTGGTTTGAGTGTTGGAGAACTTATATCTACATGCTGACTTCACAAAGTAAGACCCTGGGCACAGGCCTCGAGACTCAGGGTCCTCATCAGTAAAATGTTTACAGCTTAAAGATACGAGGTTGGAGTCACTGACCACAGGCATGTCAGTACTAAGAACACACACAATAAGGATTCTTTCATCATGGTTACAAGAGATGGTTTTGGGATGCAGTTTCCTAAAGGGAAAGCCCTACAAAAAGTGCTTTGCAAAAGATAGCCGCTTCTCGTTGCCCTGCGGCTCACTGGGCAGACATTAAAACTCTCTGAGGTTATTACTGGGGATCTTTTAGTTGTTTCACTTTCTCCACTGAATATGTATGTGTTGGAATGTCCTTTTCTCTCTGGCTGGTTCTTAGGAACAACAGAATATTATCTTGTTTCTGAAGCTGGAAAGTGGGATGGGACAAATCTCTGATTATGAAAGTACATATATGGTTTCCTTCCAGAAACTTATTTTTGAGGACGAGCAGAGTCTTATTATATAGCCTAAGCTGGTCTTCAACTCACAGTCCTCCTGATTTTGTTTCCTGAGGCTTGGGATTGCAAGCATGTACCACCACACACACAATAGAGGCATTTTCTACTCTTATTAGGTCTCTCTCTTTTTGACTTCTTGTTGGGTACTTTGAGCATAACCTTTGCTAGGGTGCTTGACTTTCACATCTGTGTTGAGGTTTTTTTTTTTTTTTTTTTTTTTTTTTTCAGGTTGCTCCATGCAGTATTTTACTGTATGGTGGAATTTGTGTTTAGAAACAGTGTAGGAACACTAAAGAGATAGATGCAGCAGGGCTGATGGAATTCTTAGTAGACAAAGGACGGATGAGAGTGAACTCTGATGAATGCTGTCTGGAGTGAGGTATGCAATAGTCACGTGTTTTAAAAACAAATGTGCTGCGGAGGAAATTCTATAGTTGAAAATAATAACAGCAATTTTGGATTTGTGTGGAAATATGCTCTCCTATACCTGTGTTTGCTTTATTTTTGTAACAGCCCTGTGAGATGGGCAGAGGAAGATTTTATCCACTCAGTCATTCAAGGCTGAGAGGTAGGAGAACTTACTCAGCCTGGTCCAGCTTAGCCAGTCATTAAGGTCGTCCTCTCTCCTGACCACACCAGCATTTCCCTTTGTACTTTTCAAAAACAGGGGTGGGGGCTGGAGAGATGGCTCAGAGGTTAAGAGCAACTGGCTGCTCTTCCAGAGATCCTGAGTTCAATTCCCAGCCACCACATGGTGGCTCACAGCCATCTGTTATGAGATCTGGTGCCCTCTTCTGGTGTGCAGATATACATGGAAGCAGAATGTTGTATACATAATAAATAAATAAAATCTTTAAAAAAAAAACAAAAAAAAACAGGGGTGGCTGGGGATATGGCTCAGTCATTTACAAAAGAGTATCCAGAGGACACAAGTTCAGTTCCAGCACCTATAAGAGACAGACCACAACAGCTTGTGAGTCCAATTTGGGATATCCCATGCCCTTTTCTGGCCTAGGGCATCCCCATACATGTAACGTACACTTTAAAAACAAACATACAAACAAACAAACAAAAACAGGCCAGTGGGACCAAGTCAGAAAATGAAGCTGGTCTTTGAAGGCTCTAGAAACCAGGGTGGTGAACACCGGTAGACCATGTCTGCTGAGAGACTTCAGTGTTTCCACAGTCAGTTCTAACCCTGCACCCCTTGTCAGAGTGAAAAGAATGAAAGGAAATGGAAGGTATGACCAAACTAGCTTAAATAATATTCTCAAATTTTCTTCTGCATTTGTTATGCCAGATGTCCTGTATAACAGACAGGATGTCTGACATATGCACCTTGAACATTCATTACAAATCGTGGCCTTTTACTAAATAAGTCAACAGCTTTTACTAGAGAAGAATGGGGTAGGCATAAACTAAAGTCAGTGACGCACCTTTGTTCAGACTGGAGGTCCTAGTAGCAAAGGTACCTGGTCACAGACTGTCTTCTTCTGTGTCTGTCTCATGGTCCTCCACAAAGAAATGGATGTATGTGATACAGGGAATGGATCATTACTTCAGAAGCAGTCTGTGAAATGAAGCAGACACAGAAGTGATTTCTTACACTGTAGTCACACTTGGCAGTCCAAGCAGAGATAGAAAGCTGTGCGTGGGCTCTGGGAAGATGTTGAAATCACACTAAAGATGTCTGGAAAAAAAAAAAAAAAGAACATCTAGTCAACCTCTGTCTGTCCCATGGGGGTTAGAAGCTAGTAGATGTCAATGGTTATACAAGTGAGGAAGGTAGGGTACTTATTTAACTTCCCTATTTTTAATATTAGCAATCAATAAGCTAGACATGGTGAGGCACACCTAACACTTATAATTCAGTGTTTGGGAGATGAAAGCAGGGGGAAATCACCAGTTCAAGGTCATCCTCAGCTACACAATAAGTTTAAGGTCATCTGGGCTACAGAGACCTTGTCTTAGAACAAAGAAACATTAATAAGAAGCTGGGCTGTGTAGCAGGCTTTTCCTTTTGGGCCACCAACCAGCTCCCAAACCATGACACAGAGGACTTATTATTAGTTTTGAATGCTCAACCTTAGCTTATTTTAATCTGTTTCTCTTTGCGTACATTTTTCCTTAGGGCTGTTTACCTTTCCTTCTCTCTCTCTCTCTCTCTCTCTCTCTCACTCTCTCTCTCTCTCTCTTCTTCTGTATATCTTACTTTCCTGCTCTCTCCATGTCTGGCTGATGGATGCCTGGCTTCTGAACTTGGGTAGGTCCCTCTCTTCTTCATTCTCTCCTCCTTCTGCTCTCTAGATGTCTCCTCCTACTTATTTTCTGTGCCTCTCAGCCCTGCCTATCTCTCTCCTGCCTAGCTATTAACCATTTAGCTTTTTATTAAACCAATCAGGGGCCTTAGGCAGGTAAGGTACAACAAATGCAACACATCTTTACATAATTAAACAAATGCAGCATAAACAAATGTAACACACCTTTACATGGTTAACAAGTGCAGTATAAAGGAGTGTAACACACCTTCACATAGTTAAAGTAATATTCTTCAACCTAAACCAATGTGACACATCTTTACATAATTAAACAAATGCAGCATAAACAAATGTGACACATCTTTACACAGTTAAAATAATATTCCACAACAGGGCCGGGTAGTGCAATTCTGTAATTCTAGCATTTGGCAGTTGATGTGGGAGGATTGATGGGAAATTAAGGCTAACCCCGGGCTACACAGTAAAGTATGAGACAGCCTGGGCTAACGTGTGAGATGCTAGTTCAAACAGCAAAATACCAGCTGAGTGTGGTGGCACACACCTTTAATCCCAGTACTCAGGAGGCAGACACAGGAGGGTATCTGTGAGTTCAAGGCTAGCCTACTCTACATAGAGAGTTCCCAGAAAACTAGGGCTACATAGTGAGGCCCTGTCTCAAAAAAACAAACAAACAAAACAAAACAAATAGTGGGTGTGATGTGCATACCTTTATTTTGAGCACTTGGGAGGTGAAGGCAGGAAGGTCAGGTATTCAGGGCCAGCCTTGTCTATGGGAGAGGCAACAACAAAAAAGCAAGCAGGCAAACAAACAAAATAAATTAATGGGAAAGTAGTACCCGTTCCAGTCTTTGCAGTTCTTCAAATCTAATGTCCATATTATATATTTTTTTCCAAAGAAGAAAGGACACAGCCATACCGATTACTGATTACTTAATTTGAAGCTGCTAGCATTTCTAGACCATAGTTTAAAAGAATTTTTTGTTTGTTTGTTTGTTTTGAGATAAGGTCTTACATAGCTCAGTCTGGCCTCCAACTTGGTGTCTAGCTGTCGGTGACCTTGAACTCAACCTTTCAAGTTCTGGCATTACAGGCCTATATCATCTTGTTAGTTTTACCTTTAAACTTTAGCTCACTCTCTGTGTGTATGCATATGTGTGCAGGTGCTCATGCACATAGCTGTACATGTATGTGAAGGCCAAAGGTCAACCTTGGGTGTCTCTCAGGGGCCACCTACCCATCTATCTTTTTTTTGTTTTTCTTTTTTCTTGAAACAGGCTCTCTTTTGGGGCTGGGGCTGGTCAGTGATCCCCTGTTATTGTCTTCCTGGCCATGGGGTTACAGACACTCACTGCCACAACTGTCATTTTGCTTGGGTGCTGGGGACCTGGTTCAGATCCTCATTCCTGTGCAGCAGCAAGCGCTTTACCAACGGGGTCAACTCCCCAGAACCCCCATGGCTTTTGGGACTGTGAAGATGAAGAACTAAAGCAGAACTGCTAGATTGCACATTATCTGGTGCAGCCTCTTCATGCAAACGAAAAAGCTGACACACTGCACAAAATGTCAGAATGTAGAAAACCAAGATGTGGTGGTTACAAGGGAGTGTTTGAATTACTTTTGAAGGCACATGCAACACACCCCAGTGGGAACAGGTGGCAGTGTTGTTGGTTGCCTACCCCACATCCATTCTACTTTCTCCTCCTCCTCCCCCTCCTCCTCCTCCCCCCTCCCCAACTCTACC